TTATAACTAAGTCTTTCCACTTGATTTAGTACATGGTTTTTGCTATGTCATGTGTTTGTGTAAGCAGTTATGCAGCTTAATATTTTCAGATTCTTATTAGCTGTATCCTTTTACTGTGTTAGAACATGATGAATGATGTACTGCTTTTTTTGCTAGATAGTTAATGTTTTGTTCATGGATTGTGTCAAGTTGTTTTGGGGTGGTAGCTGAAATTTAATTAAACACACAAAATCGCATATACAATTTACTTTAGTTAAACAAAACAAGCCCTTAATACAGTATGTGACCTAGTGTGCCTTATTTATAAAGCTTGGCCTCAAAATGTTTTTTCCCCCAGATTTTTTCTTTATATAGAAAGCAGCCTTTAACTCAACGTTTTTGCTAGATGCTCAGGGATTTCGTTCTGTTTTATTTATTCTGTTATTATGATCTTTTAAAACATTTAAGTAAGTTTAGGCTTGAACATATTCTGCATCAAATGCAAATTGTGTTTTGAAGTAGCTTTTATTTTTAAAAAGAAAAACTTCTTTAAATAACGGGGGGAAAAAAATTCGATTCCCACATCACCCCTCCAAAAAATCCATCCGTTTTTGTCCACCCTGCCCCAGCGGCTTGTACCGAGCCCAGAAACTACCTCAAAGCCCGTGGAAAGTGGGTTCCTTGTGGCTTTTTCTCCTAAAGAAGTTGGGCTGCAAAATTTTTTCCAATTTGAAATGTGCATGTTGAAATCCCGCCTGGGATGAATCGCTGGGGCATAGTTCCCAGCCATGCTGAAGCTGCATCTCCCCAGTCTTCCAGTAGCAGAAGGTGCCTCCTGCCCCAACTTGGTGCCACTTTGATAAATGGCAGGGAAAGGTTGTGACTGGGGCCACGTCAGTCTTGCTTCAGCTCCCCTTGATCTGGCTGGCTCGCCTTAGGCAGGCGTTGTTCTTGTTTAAGATTTGTATAGAGACCCCCGCATCTGGGCCCCATGGTGCTGGGCACTTTGCAAACACCCAGCCAGTCCTGGTCCCACTCGGCCGGCCATCCAAGGCTGTTATTGCGCTGCCTTGGCTGCTGGGAAGGAGCCGTGGCGTGAGGTGCTGTTGGAGCATGGTGGTTTCGACCCATGTGGTCTCTGGGAGATTTGAAAGAGGAGGAGGGACTCTGTGGATTCCTGCAGGGATGTAAGGGGATGCTGCTTTTTGCATCGCTACCTAAGCTGCTGTTGTGCTGCTCCAGTACGGTGGGGCTGAGAACACTCTTCCAGGGGTGTTGTGAGGGTTGGTACAGACCTTGAGGGCTGTGAGGGAATCCGACATTAGGTTTCCCACCCCTGCCCTAAGGCCCGGGGGCCGGATGCCTGGATCTGGCCCACAAGCTCACGCTCTCCAGCCCCCCTGCTGCCTTGCTTTGAGGCTGGAGTGCACAAAATCTACTAGCCTGGCCCCCCAGGCTCTGGTGTGTGAGGGGAACGTGGGGAGTGTCTTTGTCCTTCTCAGTTGGGAGCACGTCAGTCAGGGTTTGGGTTTCTGGTGCTTGTTGGGGTTTTTTTCGTATGTGGCTCCCAATTTTGATTTTTCCTGTGGGCCAGCGGCCCCTGACCCCAAAAAGGCTCCCCGCCCCTGTACTAGGAGGTTGGGATATACAAGTACCAACGCTCGCTCGGTCTGCTACATGGGTGGTAGGGATATGAACGGGTAACTGGCTACTGGGTAAGCACCACCCTTAACAGAATTGTCTCTCTATGGGAAACATCCCATGGGGCGGGGGGGCAGAAGTGCTGGGAGTAGGAAGGCTGCTGGCTCCCAGCCCGTGTGGCCTCGTGGGCTGGGAGCTGTCAGGTTCACGCTGGATGGGAAGTCGCAGGGGAGGGCAGGAAGAGCTGCTGGCTTCTGTGGGGCTGGAGCCCCCTCCCCCCCCCCCCCCCTCCGGCCACACACACATTTCATCACTTAAACATTACGTTTAATCAGTTAACTAATTAAATGGGATTTTACATCCCCGTGGGTGGGCAGCCTTGGCTGAGTAGTATAGACCTGCCAGGTTGGGACCCTGGGACTGCGAGCCACCGCCTGGGAACTGGCCTCTGTTCGGCCAGGACGGTCCTTCCCCCAAAATGGCTGCGCTGAAGTGGGTGAAACGCTGTCCCAGGGGGCAGAGAGATCTTGGGCAGGCCAGAGCCGCGAGCCACTTTGCTGCCTGGCCTGGCTCTGCCTGCTGCAATTCTGCCCAGGCTCTGGTGGAAAAGGAAGAGCTGGGTTTTGCCTCCTTCGCAGCCTGGGCACCTTGTGTCTTCAGAGCCCCTCTGGCCTTCTCTGGACCTGTTCCGTCGACTCGTGCCTCTTGGCCAATGAAGGCCCTGCCTTGTTTCTCGTGCAGGCGTGTACGAAAATGTCCCTCCCTCTCCCTGGGCTCAGATAGGACTGCCTGTCCAGCACAGACCCGTCTTGTGTCCCCGGACTTGCCTCTGGCTCCGAGTCTGTCCCGGCGTGGAGGGAGAGGCAGCTGGATCTTAACGCGGTGATGGAAGTGGGAGCCAGTTAAGTCCTGTGGCTGCGGAGCCCATGGCATTCGGTTGCGCAATCCCAAGCAGAGTCTTGGAGCATAAGGCTTGGTATAACGTGGCTGTTTACCCTGCGTGTGAGGCTCCCGCGTCCGGACAAGAGGCCCTCTCCAGGAAGGGTCTGCGGGGAACTTGCCTCGCCGATAAGGAAGGGTTGAATGTGATGCTTGGGGGGATATTTTTGATCTGCCGTCCAAGTGGAAGTCGGAGAGCTCCCAGCCCGAAATCCTCTCCACAAAGCTGGCGCTGGGCAGCCTCAGACGTGGGAGACATTTCAGAGCGTGTCTTGGGGGCAGTTTCTCTTAGTGCAGTGGCTGCCTTCCTGCTAGGGGCCATGCTGTGCAGGCTGTGGGGACCAGAGGCTCCTAGTGAACCTCTGCTCTTTATGGTGGCGGGGGAGGCGCTTGAATTGTGTCTTCTCCCATGTGAGCAGAGGAGTTATTGTTCCCATAACATAAGAAGTAGGAGTCCCCAAATGAAATGAATAGGTAGCAGGTTTAAAACAAACACACGGAGGTATTTCTTTACGCAGCGCACAGTCAACCTGTGGAACTCCTTGCCACAGGATGTTGTGAAGGCCAGGACTTTAGCAGGGTTCAAAAAAGAGCTAGATAGATTCATGGAGGTTAGGTCCATCAATGGCTATTAGCCAGGATGGGCAGGGATGGTGTCCCTGGCCTTTGTTTGTCAGAGGCTGGGAATGGGTGACAGGGCTGGAATCACTTGAGTGTTCCCTCTGGGGCACCTGGCATTGGCCACTGTTGGAAGTCAGGCTACTGGGCTAGATGGACCTTTGCTCTGACCCAGGAGGGCCATTCTTACGAGGAGCAGACTGGGTCCAATACAAAGCTGGTCTGTACATAGCACTCGCCTGTAGTTCTGGGTGATTGTAGGGCACAGGCGTCTGGTTCTGCTCACGGGCGCTGACTTCCCCACTAGCTAGGGGTGCTCAAGCCCTCCCTTACCCTCCATCCCCTTCCCCCTCATGTCCCAGGCACTGCCGCTGCCTCCTCCCCTGAGCATCTTCTGTCCTTCTGGAGCTTCCTGAATGCCACAAATCAGCTGTTTGTGGCATTCCAGACGCGTGAGAGGGCAGGAGAGGCCTTGGACAGCGGGGCCAGCTGCAGGCGAGACGCACAGGGGGAGGACAGTAGAGGGGGGAGCTTGGCTGCCAGTGGGTGCACAGCACCCATTCGTTTTTCTGCTTGGGTGCTCCAGCCCCGAGACCCCCATGGAGTCAGCATCTATGGTTCAGCTGATTAGCCAGGAGCAGGTGTTTCTATTGGTGGTGCACATTGGCACTTGCCTTAGTGCACATAACACTTATTCTACACATGGATGGAAAAAAAAATTAGAGAGAACATTGATCCCATCCACAGTGTCTTGCCCTGCTTTTCAAAGTTGCTCCTGTTCAGCCATCCACACTACCCCGTTCCTACCCCGTCCTGTCCCTGTCTTTCTATCCGCCCGTCCGCACTGGCCCCGGTCCTATCCCCTCGTGTCCCTCTTTCTATCCGTCCGTCCGCACTGCCCCCGGTCCTACCCTCTCCTGTCCCTCTCTTTCTATCCGCACTGCCCCCGGTCCTACCCTCTCCTGTCCCTCTGGATGAGGAGAGGTTAGAACCTCCCCAGGTTTGGGCAGCCTTGGACAGGCTGTGCTTCTGTTAATCAGATCCATGTTCCTCCTGGATTTTTACCCACGGGCCTTAGCAGTTTATTTGGCAGAGCCACGGTAGTTTATACAGGCAGAAGTGCACAGATGTGGTTGCCTCATCTCAAAAGAGATATCTTGGCATTGGAAAAGGTTCAGTAAAAGGCAATAAAACTGATTAGGGGTTGGAACGGGTGCCATATGAAGAGAGTTTAAAAACACTGGGCTTTTTCACCTTAGAAAAGAGTAGACTAAGGGGGGGATGTGCTAGAGGTCTATAAAATCATAATTGGTGTCGAGAAAAGTTATTTACTTGTTCCCATTAACATAAGAACTAGGGGTCACACAATGAAATGAATAGGTAGCAAGTTTACAGCAAAGAAAAGGAAGTCTTTCTTCACGCAGTGCACAGTCAACCTGTGGAACTCCTTGCCAGAGGATGTTGTGAAGACCTGGACTTTAACAGGGTTCAAAAAAGAGCTAGATAGATTCACGGAGGTTAGGTGCATCAATGGGTATGAGCCAGGAGGGGTAGGAACGGTGTCCCTGACCTCTGTTTGTCAGAGGCTGGAAATGGCTGACAGGAGGGGGATCACTTGATGATTGCCTGTTTTGTTCACTCCCTCTGGGGCACCTGGCTGGAGAACGGCCCTGCTGCCTTTTGAGCACCGACCTCAGGGGCTCGTTCCAGCCCGGAGCAATTCCGGCCTCCCGGCCCAGCCAGCAGCATTGGGGTGTCCCCATGTAGGACGGATTTGCCCGGCAGGTGGGCTTAGCTTAAGAAATGCTTCTCTGTTCTCATAGGCTCCGTCTAGTAGGCTGCCAAGGCCCTAGGCGGGCGTGTCGACAGAACAGGTCCCTGGCCCCAAGCAGGACAGGCGAGCAGAGGTGGGCCAGCCGGAAACGTACAAGCTGCCCATGCCGACTGTGTATGAAGCTGGGAAGCAGGTGAGCTGGAGATCTGGCCCCTTGCGGGACAGGAGATGAACTGACTGCGGTAAAGGACAACTCCTAGGCTGGCCGGCCGGGGGAGAGCCTTAAAGAAATTCCAGTGAGCCACCAAGCCCCTGCAACCGCCCGAAGCTCAGTATTCTGCGCAGCCAGACCCCTGTCTGTGCTCTGCAATTCTGGGGCCAGAAGCAGCCCATGGCCTCTCCCCACCCCTTTGGAGGCAGAGGGCGAGATGGTTCCCCTCCTGCCCAGGCTGTTGCCTGGTAGTGTCTCTAACCGCCACGCGTGGGGCTGGCCACCAGTGCACAGTGCATGGGGGGATCTGGGTTCAAGGGAATGTGGGAGGGAATTGAGCTGGGGGGGAGGGGCGGCACACAGCCCTGCTGGCTCCTTTACCCTCTCCATGCTCTTCCCTTCCAGTACACGGGACCTGAGTCCACGGAGAGACCCCTTTCGATGTCCCAGCATGAGACCTCTCCGGCGACGGTGCAACCCGCTGGCAACCACCGCCCCAATGCCTGCTGCTTTTGCTGGTGCTGCTGCTGCAGCTGCTCGTGGTACGTCCGGCGCGTAAAGAGACCCCTGCCCCTCTCTCTCCTCCCTCCCGTGTCTCCGGGTTGGGGAGAGGGGCCGCCCTGCTGCCGTTGAATCCCCGGGTGCGTTGTGCTCCAAAGTCTTCCCCCCTCAGCTCCCTGGTGCTCAGAAGCCTGGTGCGTCACTCGTGGGCTGGGACGGGGAGGGAGTTTAGCGGCAACAGAGGAGCGTAAGGCTCTAGCCTGGGTCAAGCTCCTTTGTCCTTTGCTGAGATTGAAAGATCTTGGGGGCAGGGCCCACCTTGTGGCCTGTGTCTGTGCCGGGCGGCCCGGGCCCATGCCATCCCGGAGCCGTGCCCGTTTCTGGAAAGCTCCGGCGCTGGGCGTGCTCACCCTCCTGAGGAGATGCCTGCAGGCTCGTCCGCCGGCATGTTACATGTATCTAGGCTGCCGAAAACGCCAGTCGGAGCTTGTTGAGCGTGTGTGGGAAGGACCTCCCCCGCCCGCCAGGTTTGGAGCGTCCAGGCCGCCTGTGTGCTTGGTTTACAGTCGACGGCTAATTGGCGCAGTGTTTAAAAACTGACTGTAAACACCATTTTGAGCAGATGGCCCAGTGTTTGTGCTGCGGGTTGTTCAGAGCCTCGTGGAGTGCACTGTGCGTGCGCGTTTTCACTCTCCTCCACCCAAGGAGTTTGGAGATTTGAAACTTGGCAAATGGGCCGAGTTTTCTGAAACGGACGGTGTGTGAAGCCACTTGTCGACGGGCTGATCCTTGAGGCAGGGCCTGTTCAATTGCCTCTTTGGAAACGCGTTCCGTCCGCAATCTGCTGGGCTCCCCTCCTGGACTGCACAGCATGGACATGCAATGAGTGATGCTTCTGGGGAAAAATCTAGTGGCCAGTTCAGGGGGACGCAGAAATCCCATGCAAGTCCGAAGCGTCTCGGTCCCCCAGCTCTGATGCCCGTAATCAAATGGCTCCAAAATAGCCACAATCGCCTCCTGATCCAGAGGGGAGGGGGAGCCCCTGCCTGTCTACTGTCAGCACAGATTTGTGAGCTGGTGTGTGTGCTTCTCTCGTGCCGGTCACTAAATCCCCAGATCTGAAGTTCTGTGTCCAGCAGGTGCGGGGGCTGCTTGTCTGGTTACTCCTGTGTCTGTACCCAACCCGCTCAGCATTAGGATGCCCAACAGAAGTTGTTTAGCATGGTCAAGGGGGAAAAAATGACCCTTGCTGGTTAGGACCCATCACTCTCTATGGGTATGTCTACACTACCACCCTAGTTCGAACTAGGGTGGTTAATGTAGGCAACCGGAGTTGCAAATGAAGCCCAGGATTTGAATTTCCCGGGCTTCATTTGCATCTCGCCGGGCGCCACCATTTTTAAATGACCGCTAGTGCGGACTCCGTGCCCGCGGCTACACGTGACACGGACTAGGTAGTTCGGACTAGGCTTCCTACTGGGGAGGAGCGGCTGTGACCAGCCTCCTGCACGGGGGAGTTCCACAAGTACCCTCTGCCACACCCTGTTTGGCATGGGAAGTGGGTGTGTGCAAATGTGCCCTTTGCTGTATGGTTGTCCCCTGTGGCAAGCTCGCCCCTCACTGTGTACCCTGCCCATCTCTGCTGGGCCTCTGGGTGGGATTCGTAGAGCCCGTTGAGCTCACGGCCCTGGCTGCCTTTGGGCTGTAGCTGAGCTCCTGGTGCTGCCCACTTTCTGCCTGGCTCATTGGAGCAACCTTGTCCCTGCTGTGAGATCAGTGGAGCTGACGGCAAATTCCAGGGAAGAGTCTGGCCGGCTGCAGTCTTGGAGTGTCTTGGTGGTGCAAGATGCTGAGTAAACTTACAACCAGTGTACCAGCCCCTCCCTGTACAGACAGGCATGAGGTGCCCAGGTACTGTCTTCCCTCCAGGTCTCCCTGTCTGATGATCCCTGGACTGTGCTCAGGGAAGGTGTGGGGGGGCCCTCTGCACAGCTGTGGCAGCGGTGTGGGGGAGAAGGAAGTACTCCAGCAAAGCCACCTTCCACACAAGGGAGAGTCCACAGATCCATCGTCTCTCCCAGCTGTGTTGCTTCTTGCCAACACAAACCAGGTCTGTGTTCCCTGTAAGCCGGGCGTTTGTGTAGCCACTCACGAGAAAGTCAAACGCCGCCCAGCTGATTAGCAGAGTGCCCACAGCTAGGGTTTGGTTTCTACTGGTGGTGCACATGCCTCAGTGCACATAAAATTATTCTGCACATGGGTGGAAAAAATCTGCACGTGGATGGAAAAGGTTAGAGGGAACACAGAACCAGAGCTGTTGATCCAGGCAGACCGACAGTGGCCAAACCCTCAAAGACCCCCTGGGGCTTTGTTCTGCTTCCAGCAAGATGCCTTTTGCAGGTCAACTGTATCTCCCCTCCCCTGCCCATCCAGTGTTGCCGAGGAATCTGATGCGGGGCAAGGAGACAAAGGCCATGTCCCTACCTCTGTCCAGTTTTTCCCTGCTCCACCCCTGTCCCCGGTGTGTCCACACATGCACTCCTTTTCAAGAAGCAAGCTAAGACCGCTCAGACTCACTCCCTTACCCCTGACATCCTTTGGCTTTGGGCCTTGAGGATTCATACAGCTAATACATAGATTTTTCGTCTTGCCATAAACTTCCCCATTGAAAACACCAGCCCAGCATGCGCTTCCTCAGTCATAGGATCTTTCTGCCACAGCCTTTTCAGACCTTGCAAGCTAAGCAGGACTGGGCGGTGACACGGCTTGCTTGGGGGACTGCTAAGGGACGCGCAGTGACAGCAGGAGACGGTATCGGTGGATAGCCGTCTTCCCGCGGAGTCGGGCTCCCTCGTAGTGCTAGAGTCGAGGAGTGCTGCTGTTTGGGTGCGGCCTGGGGCACGGTCTCTCCCTACAAGTAAGGGGGGAGGGTTAGGGTCAGAATCCACTTGGGCTGCTGACATTCTGCTGCTTTGAGTTTCCCCTGCACATTTTGCTTCCCTGCCTGCCCTAAAGTGCTGCAATTGGGGTGTCTCCCCCTCCCCGTGTCTAAGCTCCCCCACTTCTGAGAGGAAGCCGAGGGGAAGGTGAGAATGAAGGAATATCCGTGAAGCCCTCGGCCGTTCTCCGACGGGACAAGCGCTGCGAAGCACCAACTATTTTTTCCGGTATTAAAAATCCCCAAACCCAACCCCACCCAGGACAAAACTGAAGCGAGAGTGGGGTGCCACCCTCGGGCATGCTCCACTGCGACTGGCATGAGGGCGTCAGGTGCACCTGCTGCGGGAAGTCCGGGCCTGACCAGGCCGCTGCAAACCAGCTGGCAGTAAGCCGCCCGGCAGAGCGGCCAGAGCCCCTCCCCGCTTTCACACCGCCTCTGCCCCTCTAGAAAGGGCCCCTGCCGGACGCCAGAGGTTGCCCTTCTTGTGTTCCCAGCCCCACCCAGCCGCACAGACTTGGCCTCGCAGAGGAAGAAGTGTCTGTGTTAATCTCGCCCGAGCAGCAAAGAGCGAATGTCGCAAACAGGAAGTGCTGCTCCTGCTGCGGTTTTCCACGCATGTGAAATGGAAGGGGCCCGAGGGAAGTTGCCTGCCTGCGTGCGGCTTTCCGATTGCACAGCACCCTTCCTGGCGAGAAGAGGGGAGCCCGGGCATCCGCTGGGGCTGCACAAAAATCAACCCCCCAGGAGCAACACCTCCCCGGGGGCGAGGCCATGCTCAAGGCCAAGTGAGCCGAGTGGATTTCATGGCAGTCGCTCCACGGAGCAGGGCCCCTGGTAACCCCCAGTGGCAAAGACTGGCCGACAGATTCCCAGCCAGTGCAACTTAGAACTGTCAGGGCCTGCGCTCTTCAAGCTCTTGCCCGGTGCTTTGCAGCAGTAGATCTTGCGTCTCTAGCTTTACAGCCCTCCATGTAGCTGTTGCCAGGACGGGGTTTCCAAGGTATCCAGATTTGGGGAGCGCTCACTTGATTGTGGGGAAGCAGATCGTCCTATGGAGAAGTAAAAGGGTGTAGCGGTTAGAAAGCAAAACTAAAGGTCAGACATGCTGGCTTCAATCCTAGCTCAGCCACCAGCTTCCTGCGTGATCGAAGGCAGGCCATAGAGCATCTGGGCCTCAGTTTCTCCATTTGTAAAACGGAGATGATCGTCCTGAACGAACGCCCAGGGGAGTTTTCGGAATTGATTCGTCCATGAAAGCTGCTGCACGGTGGAAGGGCAAACCGTTACCATGAAATCTACACACACGTCTCCTGTTTTCAAAGCCATCCCAGAGGATCCCCGTGCAGACAGGAGACTCAGTTCTGCTCCATTTTCTTTCGCCCGGCTCGGCTAAGAGAGGGACCTTTGCCAGGCCTGTCGTTGCTTCGTGGTGGAAGTTGTTGCCTTTCCTTCCAGCGAGAAGGGTTCCGAGAGCCCGACGCTGCGGCTTATGCTAATCCATGCTTCCACCAGTTGGAGGTGCTAGACCTGTGGTTGTTTGTCCCAATCCATTCATGGAGAGCAGAACATGACTGTCAGCACCGGATCGAGGGGGTGGGCCTTTGAAAGGCATTGGAGGACTGACAGCCCCACTCAGAGCATCTAGCAGTTTGACTCGCTCCAGTGAAAGGGGGGGGGGGGGGGATGCAAAAGCCCCTAATCCAGACTCGGTTTCCCTGCTGCATCTCGCAGGCGTTTGCGTCTCACTCTGTCTCTCTCTAAGGTTGCAGAGCCTCGCCCGTCACTGTGGGGTCGTGGTGTTTCAATGCATTTAATAAATGGGAGACACCACGTATCTGGGTGTCAGAGGAAACCCCATTCTCGGCATGCTTGGGCTAGGGATGTGAACGACCAGTTGACTATCCGATAACCAAATGTTGGCCCGGGCAGCGCCGCACGGAGCCTGGGTTCTGTGGCTTTGAAATGCTGCGTGCAGCCTAGGGCCAGCTGGGAGTCCCCTGCTCATGTGGTGTTTCAAAGCGGCAGTGCCATGTGGAGCCTGGGTTCAGTTAGAGACTCCCCCCGCTGGATCTGTGCACCCCACAGCGCTTTTGCCTTTGAAGTCTAGTAACAGCCCTGGGGCCGTTGCTAGAGTTCAAAGGTGGAGGCGCCCTATCGACTAATCGAATAGTCAGTGCAAATTGCATCCACTATTCAATGAGCCATTTAATCTAAATTTAACATCCCTCACTTGGGCTTCCAGGAACAGATTCATCTGAAATCACATTACTGCAATGGGCTCCCTTCTCATTTGCTCCCTTTGCCCGAGCCACTGACTTCAGAGCTGAGCCAGCCTAGAAACAGGGCACCAGCTGCTGCTCCGCTCACTTCACACGGTCGCCCGGATTCGTTTTCTCGTTCTGCATGTAAATGGTTCCCCTTGGGTTCCGTTGCCGCTGTTGTTTTTGGCCTGGGGCAGCAGTGACCTCTAGTGGCTGGTGCTGGTAACTGCCACTTGCATTGCCCGCCGGTTGGCTCCGGAACTGTGTCAAGAGGAGCGCTAGGTAGCGAGGAGGCCGTTGGTGCAATCAAAGCTATTCACCCACATGGCTGCAGTAACTCCGCATGCCTCGCTGGGTATTCACACTGCTCTAGCTGGGTGCTGCGCTCCTCATGCAGGACGACTGTGCATGCTTCCTGCATCCCTGAGGCTTGGATTTTAGAGCAGGATTTTACAATCGAGGACAATGAGACATTGTGCCTCTGTCTTACTTGGCCAAGCTGCAAGTTCTCTGGGGTGGGGACTGCCTAGCGGAATGAGGCCCGATCTCGGGTGGGGCTCTGTAATCTGAATCACAGCGGTAAGAGCCAGGCATCTAACGGGTTCCTAAAGGGTGCATGACTTGGGAGCAGGGAGGGAAGAGGGCTGCCTTTGAGCCCATAAAGGTGTTGGAGAATTGGCCTTAGAATGATGGAATTGGAAGGGACCCCAAGAGATCATCAAGTCCAGTCCCCTGCCCTCATGGCAGGACCAAGCACCATCTAGACCATCCCTGACAGGCGTCTGTCCAACCTGCTCTTCAATATCTCCAGAGATGGAGATTCCACAACCTCCCCAGACAATTTATTCCAGTGTTTCACCCCCCTGCCACTTAAGAAGTTTTTCCTACTGTCCAACCTCAACCTCCCTTGCTGCAATTTCAGCCCATTCTCCATCCTCGTTAGCTACTTGCCGGAGTGCTGGTGTTGCAAAACCAGGGGACCCCAGAAAGCAGGACTGCATCTCAAGCCAGGCCCCACCCGTACGGCCCGGTGGCAGTTCTGGTCAGGGAGGCCCAAGTATAAAGATGTGGCTTAGAAACCCACCAGGTTCCATGTCCTGCAGCCTGTGGAGACAGGCTGGAGAAATCCCAAGGGACCAATAGCTGCAGTTTCACATTGGATCCAGGCCAGAGCAGAGGTGGGGGCAGCCTGGGGCTCTGGTGCATTGGGAGAGCAGGGTGGGGGAGCCCTGCGGAGAGCTCTCGTGTGCAGCAGAGCCGGAGCAGCCGGAATGAACCGGGGAAATGGCGTGCGTACCGGTGTCCCTGCTGGTCTGAAGGGGCTGTGTTGAGAAGCCTCGCGGGGCCCAGGCTAGTAGTGTGCTCTAGCCCCATAGGGAAGCAGCGGGGGGCTGGAGTGCCAACGCGGGCTCCTTAATGCTGGGGGGAGCCCTGAGCTTCGGGGGCCGGATCCAGGCAAGCCGAGGGCCAGATCTGTCTCCCGGCCTGAGATTCCCCACCCCTGCTTTACGGGATCATCACAGTGGCTGTGGAGGTTTGAGCATCCTTAATGCCGGATAGTGACCAGGCACGGATGTGAACTCACGAAGGGCTGACGCATCAGGGCAACAGCGCCCAAGCGCGTGAGCTGCCGGAGTGGCTCCCCCCGGCCCCCTCGGCCCGCACAGTCAGGGGGGCTTTCAAAGGCCTGTTGGCAGAGGTTGGCAGAGGCCAGCTCTCCGGAGTGGATCTGTCTGGGCCGGAGGCTGCTCCCTCCGAAGGTCGCTGACTCCCTTCCCTTCTCCTCGACAGGAACGAAGATCGGGAGCGAGCGTGGCGGGCGTCCCGAGACACCAAACTGGAGAGCATTCCAAACTGTGAAGCTTGGTGAGTGCTTCTCCCCTTCCCACGTGAGTGGCTGGCGGGTGCCCGGCGGGGCCCCCGGGCAGCAGGCGACGTGTGAGCTGCTGACTCCTCTGCATCGGCCCGCTCCTATTCCCCCTGTGGGCACGCTGATCTGTACAAGGCCTGTGCCTCGCAGGTAGCACTGGGCACAGGGAGCTAGGGGACCTGGTCCCTGCTTTGCCATTAACTTGCAACTTCCCCTTGGTCACTCACAGGGTCTCCTTTCTCTGCCTCAGTTTCCCCCAAATGGAGGCATCATAAGTACACGCCCCACACTTTGGAGGGTGCTTGTGAGACTTAATTCCCATTTGAAGGTGCCGCGGGGGTGTTTAAATGCTGGACTGGGGGAAGCGCCGCAGAGGGGTGTGCTGCATGCAGCGTGCCGTCTCTTTCAGCTTTGGCTCCTTTGGCCCCCTGCTTCGGTTAAGTTTTCATTTAAGATTTCCCGTTGCCACTGCCCGAGCTGAGAAGCTGCCGGCTGCAGTGGACGGAGCCGTGCGGCCCAGAGGGGCTGGGACGAGGGAGGCAGTGTATGAACAGAAGTGGAGGATGTGACGGAGGGAACAAAGATGTGACGAGGCTTGGGGAGTTCTATTTGCTGGCCCAGCCACCCAGTGAGAGACATCCAGCCCCTCCCGCTGCAGGAATAACCGTGTTCTAGCCCCTGCCACCCGAGGATCTTGGTGCGACACACACCCCTGTACGGCTGCTTGATCATTCCCTTCCACCACTTAACAGGGGAAACTGAGGCACACTGAGAGGCTAAGGGGTCCTTCAGTGGCAAAGGCAGCAGTCCAGCCCCATTCCACCTGGCTCCCGGGCCTGTGCTTCAGGCAGTAGGGAGACCAAGTGAGCAGGCCCCACTAGAAAGGGAGCAGGGAGGTGACGAGAGTTAAGGTACCAGCATGCCTAGGCCTGGGCTGTACCCTGCCCTACTAGACGGGCACGCTCATGGCAGTGGGACCCCACTGCTTGATCCGGGCCTGTTTTTCCCACAGCTAAGCATGGCCAGCAGCGATCTAAAAATATCTCGGGCCAGAAGGTCGTGGAACACCAAGACTGAAGGAGGGTGGCCGGCTCGGCTGCTGTGGGAGCCTTTGCCATATAAGGATTTTATAATTAGTCGAGGGATCGCTCCATCCCGTTGGTAAAACAAGGCTCTGTTTGCCTTTGGAGCCCCAGGGGGTGGGGCAGGCTGTTGGCCACGGTCTGCTTCGCTCTGTCTTCCCCGTGGCCAAAGCCAGGAATCGGCTCTGTCCCAAGGCTGCTTGGCTGTGGAGTTTGCAGGAAACCCCCCAGCGCTCTGTCCAGACAGCACGGGAGAGATTCATCCAAAATCCTGCCATGTCAGTGTCTGCTGGAAGAACAGTCCCCGTGTGACACCGACCGGCTGCTGGAAACGGTCCAGTGGCTGGAACTCACAACCGCTGGAACCTGGGAGCTAAAACTAGGAATTTGCTACTGGTAACTGCTCAGTGTGCACCAGTCCTGGGCAGTATTCCCTTTAAGTTGAGCGCTTGGGTGGCCACCCAGGAGGGAGAGGTGCCGTCCAGCTGATTAGCAGAGCGCCCGCAGCTGGCAGCATTGTGTGTCTGGTGGTGGTGCACATCTGCCCATGCGTCAGTGCACAGAATAAAATTTATTCCATACACAGATGGAAATATTAGAGGGAACATTGGTGGAGGGTAGGGATGTGAAACAGTTAACCGGCCCTTGCCCATGAGCTCTGCCGGCGGCCAGCCATTCTGGGTTAGAGCAGCCCTGACCACGGAGCGGCTGGAACCGCACGGCTGTGGCTAGACCCCCACGGCCACGTCGGGCTGGGTGGCAGGCCCTAAGTTAAGCGGTTAACTGTTCTAACATTCCTAGTGGTGGGTTTGTACAGCGCCTAGCACCAGTGGGACCCTGGCCAGTGGATCGGGGAGCCGAGGGGCTACTGCAACGGGAATAATAATAATAAAATATAACATACATTTCTGCTAAGTGACTTTCTCCCGCTGCCCTTTAGAGGGTGGCAAGGAACATTTGGTGATAGCATAGAGCCGCTTATCTTCTCCGGCGCTGAGGCTCTGATGGTTTCCATGTCTCCAAAACAAATTCCTCAGCAGACCACCACAAAGGCTGTCCAGAGAGACAGAGGGTTCCTAAACAACAGAAGGGACGCTGTGGTTACAACTCAAACACTCTGGGCTGGCAGCCGCACACGCGTCGGGGCATCACTCCAAAACCATCCCTCTTGCAGCCCGGAAAGGAAACAAACAATAAATGTCGCTTTTGGGTTTTGTCCTGACCTGACCTCCTGCAGAAGCAGCCCCGTTTTGTGGGATTTTTTTCCCTGCCAGAGCTTACAAAGTCGAACGAGGGCCTGGAGATCAGATATGCTGTCTTCAAAACCCTTTGATTGCAATAATAACACGAGGCTGGTTGTACTTGTGGGTGTTGGTCCGTTCCCTTTTTGACTTGCTTGCAGGGATGGTTTGTCTCAAACTGTGAAATTCCGCTGAGATCAAGAACAGCTTCTCCACTGATCAAACGGGCGATTAAACAAACAAAACACGCTGGTGGGAACATTGCATGAAAACTACCCAAGCTGCGGCCAGCAGGACTAGGCAGTTACAGCACTACTGGGAAGTGTTCGGCTCACAAAGGTCTGGATCCTGCAGTGTAGTTAGGAAACTCATTGAAATCAGGGGAAGGTGGGCACCTAAATACTTCTGCTGACCTGGCCAGAACCTTTCTTGCCCACTGTGCCTCTTGTCAGTTGATCCCACAATGCTAGGCAGATTAAGAGCTGGCCAGGCTGGAAATGTGACACTTGCAGTGTGGTTCCTAAATTCTCCAGGCCAGGTGCATTTGGCACAGAGAGGGGTTACCCGAGGGAGAGACACGGGCAAGTTTTCTAACACATGAGGGGGAGCGACTGGTAGATGAGCCACAGGGGAGAGATTCTCAACTCTGTCCAGCCTCTACCGGCCTGCCGTGGCTGCACCGCCGTGGGGGTTGGTTCAGGGCGAGCAAGCGGCGTCAGCTCACAATAATCCTCTGGTTTGGTTTGTTTTGTTCTTTCTCGCGACTCCCCTTTTCCGCGACGCCGGGGCCCGACCAGCCTCAAGCCGACGCCCGACGAAGTGCAGGGCTGGTCCCAGTCGTTCGACAAGCTGATGAAGAACCCAGCAGGCAGGAACGTGTTCCGGGAATTCTTACGGACTGAGTACAGCGAGGAAAACATGCTCTTTTGGCTAGCATGTGAGGAACTCAAAACCGAGTGCAACAAGCACCTCATCGAGGAGAAGGCCAGGGTGATCTACGAGGACTACATCTCTATCCTCTCCCCCAAGGAGGTACGGAGTCCCCTCCCCGGGCGCTGGCAGGCCAGCTGGGGCATGATTCCCAAGCCCTGGTGCTCTCGGGAACTCCAAGTTGCCGGGGAGCCAGGCTCCGACGGGGGTGGGCCTCCCTGGCAGTGCAGCAAGGGAAACTGTGTCCGCATGCTCCTGGAGTTCAGCCTCCACTGGCCCCGCCGGCGCAAAGGTGCTGACGGGGCCAAAAAAACAAGAGCTGGTTCCCCATTTGCAACTCAGAACAGAATAACCTCAGTCGTTGCTGAAGCAGCATCCCCGGCTGAAATCCATTCCGGGCCCTTTGTCCTTGCGTGCAGACCAGAGCCCCCCTGGGGAGCCGGAACGGGGACTAACGAGTGGGGCGTATGTGCACCCAAAGCAGTGGAAGTGGTTTGAGGCTCGACGGGGGAGGGATCACATGATTTCCTGGCCTGTTTGCGCCCTCTGGGGCACCTGGCATTGGCCCCTGGGGGACGACGGGACGCTGGGCTGCATGGACCTTTGTTCTGACCCAGTCTGGCCAAGGTTACGGGGCAATTGCGGTCAGGCCAGAAGTATTTAAATAGGGAACAAATGCTTGGGAGACAAAGGCAAAGCAACAGCCAGGAGCTAGACCCATTCAGACCAGAAATAGGGTGTCAGTTGTCAAGAGGGAGGCTGATTAACCCAGGTGGATTCTCCCTGGCTGGCCATTTTAAAATCAAGAGTGGATCTTTCCTCCTGGAAGCTCGGTGCTAGCTCACACAGGAATTGCAGGTCAGGCTAGCCGTACGCCTGCACTGCAGGCAGGTACCTCCTGGCAGGCTCGCAGGGCTTAGGCTATAGGGCCTGAACCGATAGTGGTGTGTCAGCTTGGAGCTGGGCCTGGACCCTGCAAAGGAGCAGAGTCTAGAACCCTGTTTCCAGCCTGGAATATCAATGCAGCAATTAAACAGCCTCGTAATCCAAGCCCAAATCCGCTGGCCTGGGCCTGTTGCAGGTGTCTAGCTGCAGTACAGATGTACCCTACGTGGCTTAGGCTATAGGGCCTGAACCGATAGTGGTGTGTCAGCTTGGAGCTGGGCCTGGACCCTGCAAAGGAGCAGAGTCTAGAACCCTGTTTCCAGCCTGGAATATCAATGCAGCAATTAAACAGCCTCGTAATCCAAGCCCAAATCCGCTGGCCTGGGCCTGTTGCAGGTGTCTAGCTGCAGTACAGATGTACCCTACGTGATCAGAGGTACTGCTGGGAGGGGGGAGAGGAGAGGAAGGGGGGGCAGGGGGAACG